CACTTCTTACAATGTCTGCTAAGGTGAATGTCAATTAATGATGCAGTGATTAGCGGTAAGCGACCTCACTGATCAGGTGGATCTTAGGTGAATCCTGCTGACAACTTTGGAAGAAAATGCGCGTATTTTAGGCTGCTTTACTTGAATGTTAGAAACCTATTGCAGGCTCAATCACTGGTACCCTAGTAGACTGAAGAGTTAACGGCCCAAAAACAGCAAGCCACTTGCTTCCTTCTCACTGATAGGGTCAAGCCCATTACTTTCTTCATGTATTTTTTTAAATTACATAAACTATGCAAACATATTTAGAGTTTTTACGCCCTTTTTATTCTATGATATAAAGATAATGAAAGTGACTCAAGTTAGTGTCTGTCCGTATATAAATATACGTATATAATATATACGTATATAAATAAACATCCATGCATACATACATACAAACAAGCATTTATCTCATTTTCCTTTTATTCTTCAGACAGTCGCTTTCCTCTTTGTTGCCCGCAGGTATATTTTTCTTTAATAAAGGCACATGACTCCTGTCAACCTTAATGGAAGTTATGTGTGTGTGTTTAGACTGCACACTATGGAAGACGACAAAACTTGTTTCCATATCTGTGTTTTGGGGACCAAAGAATGAATTCTACTGTAAAACACATGCTTTCATGAGCATGGCAGATTTCTGAACAAGTTTCTGTTGGCTTCAGGTGAGTCCCTCAGATTTCAGATCACTGGGAGAAATTAAGGCCTCGATGTTGAGTTAACTGTGATAAGGGTAAGTAAGCTGTCACTCAGGATCGCAGTGGCCTCTTTCATGAAGATAAATGTCTTATTAGATCTAAGACATCATGTCGTTTATATAGTCTGGTATAAATCACAGATGAAGATGACAAACTGGGTTTCAAAGTTGACAGTAATTTATATAACTTAAACAAATGATTACCAAGGATTATACATGTTTTGTGAAGAATAAAAAAACAATAACAATTATCTGTCTATGAACTACTCATTTTTCATCCTTCAGCCCAGCATGTTGGGCTGTTGGTGCGGGTTTAAACTCTAACCTTCCATCCAGTGCCCGGTGAAGCACTATCACGGTGTCAATGGCTGGAGATCTTCCATAATACTTCTTTCACTAGAACAAACTCCTTGCAAATTAACCCAAGTGTTTACATAAAATCATGGCATTTTAGAGCTGGCAGAGACTTGGTAATCACCTAATCTTATCTCTGTTTCACCAAAGAGGAAACTAAATGTTAAAGAGGCTAAGTGCCTAGGTCCTATCGCTAGCAAGACGGCCAGTACAGAAACCAAGACTGCCTCCCTGGAGTGGCCTGCCCCGGCCCACACTGCATGTCTCCCTTCACCTGCATGATCTCAGCATGCTTCTCAGTGCAGACTCAAACAGCTTTGCAGGAGGCCTGATCATGGCTCTTAAGCTATTTCTCACAAGGTTTAGTTAAGTTCTTCAGACATGTGTGTCTCTCTGGCCTATATATGTTCTTATCTTCTTCCCAGAATGATTTGGGAGCGGTACATTTTATAAAGAATTTCAAAGGGCTCCATAAATGCTAACAATTATAATTATGAATAACATACAATAAGCCCTTGAATTGATTTGACATAGATCTAATTAGTTATCTTTTTTGGCCTTTTTGTCCATGTTATAGATTTTAATATACTGCCAATGAAGAGTTAGTTATTGAATACCTATATTGAATGCCATTATTCAATCATGAGTTTACAGGCTGTGTAGAGGATACAAAGAGGAATAAGATGTGATTGCTTTCCTTAGTGAGTAAATAATCTAGTCGAAGAGAAGATTAGACAGCCCCACAAAGAAGTATTTGATACATAATCAAGTGTTGATTATCAGGGACAGAGTTTGCAGAAAAAAACAATTGGTTGCACTTGCAGTAGTTTGGAAGAAAGTCAAGACAATATTTGGGCTGCGCCGTGGCCAAAGTGTTTTTAGTAGTCTTTTCCAGACTGGGAGTATGACCAAAAGCTCATTCTTTGAAACGTCAAATATTTATTGAGCTTACACTAATTAGTAGTGAAATAATAGTGGCTGTTTATAAGTGCAAATAGCTGATTTTTAAGTGAGTGACTTGGCAGATGAGATTAAGCTTTTTCATACTGCCTCAAGTATTTTTTGTTTCTCTCCAAATTCTAAACTCACCAACAATTTTAATGGTAATGTGAAAGTTCTAGTATATGATTATTGAAGATGTTAGTGTGGTCATTACGGTGGTGGTAAAATGATATGCAGTGTTTTGGTTGCTAACGTAATATATTTATCTGATATATAAATCAGTCAGAGGTGGGGAGGGATTATATATCTTTGCATGCTATTTATTAGAAAATCTTATATACCATGCTCAATTACCTTGTTCTTAGAATCTATAAATGCATTATAATTAAATGTAGCATCTGCCTTATAGATGAACACTGAATCACCCGAGGGTTAGCTACCTTACCTAAGACAATCATGTCTAAAGTTCTAGAGTTCTGGATTCTCAGGTATGATTTTAACCACCAGACTGTCCTTCCTCAAGCTCCAAAGCCGTTAACCATTTCTACCTCAAAGTTTAATATTCCGTTAAATGTGAAAGAATTTTGTTTAAGCATAAAACTTTTGGGCCAAGTATATGGATACATATACTTAATTTATATAAATATAAATTTATATTTATACTTTATATATATATGTGTGTCTTTATATATATATTTTTTCAACTCTTCATGCTTTGGTGATCTTTGTTTTACTACTAGCTATAAATTCTTTTGGCCTATCATAGAACTCTGACTTTTCAGGTAAAAAGTAAATGTTAATAAGCTGTTTAAAACAATGCTGAAGCACCTGTTAATCTAGAATATTACGATCTGCTAGGGAAGGGTTGTTGAATTCATAAACTGTATTACACTATGCTCTAGACTGCCTTTCTGACTTTGAGTGACAGCCTTTTTTATGTTGGGCCTTAAGTAGCTTAAGCCCAGATACACTAGTCCAATGGGAAAGAAAGATTATACAGAGTAGTTTCTCTGGCTTGTAAAATTGAGATTTATAGGGAAGTTATTCCTTCGTGGAAAGTTTTCACTTATAGAAGCCTTTATCCAATTTGCAGACCCATTTCTATAAACTGTTAAGATATGACTTATGATAGTGTATTTTAATGGAATTCTCCAAAAGATAAACATCATTGTTGTCATGGTTAATTTTATAATCATGTTTTTTTCATAATAGTACTCCAGATTTTGTTTTAATCAACAAAATATAGGGTTAACTGGGATCATGAGCTCTCCTCTCTACAAATGATCATTATCATCATTGAAAGACATTTATGAATGCCCAAGTACATAGCTGGGTCTAGAGGTTGTCACAGCTTAGGGGAAAAAATCACTTGAGTTATCTAATCTAGCCCTTCTAATGAATTCACATCATTCTTACTAATATCTCATTTAATTAATTATCAAATATAGCGATTATGCTTTGCAGGACATCTTTCCCGCCCAACTATTAATACTAATTTATTCTTCATGTCTAACCTAAACTTTTCCTTCCTTAGTCTCAGGCCATTGCTCTTTTCTATACCATCTTCCAAGACTGAATAATTCCCCTAATTCATTTATATTGTTACCTTTAGAAGGTATTTAAAGACTGTGAACATTTATCCCCAGAGTCTTCACTTTTCCAAACCACATAAATTTCAGTTCTCTTAATCCTTACCTCGCTCTGCCCCTGTCATACTCTCCAGTTCTTAGGCATTTTATCACACTCCTTGATATTTTCCATTCCAAGGGGATCACCTAACCAGGAGATCTACGTTTTGGGGAGGGAAGTACTAAAGCATAAAATCTCGTATAAACCACTAGAAGACGCCTAAGTGTTTATTTGATGTTCGTGTTGGTGATCATCTGCTGGGCATGCCAGTGTAGTGCTTGCTTTGGCATATGTTGGGATATATGTGTATTTTAATGCCTTAATGTATTATGGCCTGTTGTAATTGAATGTCTATAAAGTAGCAGTTAAGAGGGTTTTATAGACCTTAGAAGAGATCAGAATTCTCTAGCCCCCTCTTGTGGTAAAAGAAAATACTACTTTTGGGCTTTTCTGGATTGTTTTGTTTTAGTTGAAGAGGAAGGCTAAGGTATCTAAGTTCTCAACATGTGAGCATAGGGAATGACTCTAGGAATTTAAAAATTACATACCCAAGTGCACACACACTCAGATCTGAGAAATTCCTGTTCTTTTATTAATGCCCTGAAACCTAAAAGATATTACTTTCTTATAACTATAATTTCAGTATATTTTTATTACACAAGTCAGGAGGAGGACAAATAAAATAAAACCATAATCTTGAGGGTTTTATATTCCTAAATACATAAATTAGGGAGGCTTGGATATGAATTTTAAACTAAATTTACAGGTACTCTTTTCTTTGTTGTTATAAATGGATGTGGTTAGCATTTCTAACAGATTTAAACATATCCTGTATCACCTGTAACATTAATTTTACCAGCTTTGTGATTTATTATTGTAGCATTCCTTCTATGGTAGACACATTTCAGATATTCATAAAGGTCTTACTAAGTAGCAAAAATCTGAAGGGAAGATTGAACTGGCATGCAAATGAATTCGTGTGTATTGCCTGCGGAAAAAATTTCTACAGGTAGTACAAAGTTATGTTTGTTTTTCTAGGAGACCACTAAAAATAACATTTCTGTCTTGGAATAGTTGGTCTGTAGAGGAGAACCGTTAAGGAGTTGCTGTTACTATGCCTTACGTGTCAATCCAGGAAGTGAAGAGATTAAAATTAGACACTCCCTAATTAGATTTTTTTTTTAAAGCTACTCAAAAAACTTGAGTAATGGTTAAGGTAGATTGCCTTAATGCTCAAGTCACATTCCAATGAAAATATGGGGTTCTATTTAGCAATTCTGAGAACTCTAGAAACAAATTTGAGACCATGCTTTTTAATGTTAATTTTTTTTTCCGAAAGGGAATAAATTGAATATTACACTAATTGAGGAATTGCAAGAGAAGAATGGCATAGACATAGCAGAACAAAATGAAAAGGGGTCGGTCACAGGTGAAATGAGTGAGACTGTTGTAATGATTTAAATATTAAATAGAAAACTGGTGATTTTGGCTGATTCTCTTTTTTCTCCCTCACTTGAAGAGGTGATAATTGTTTTGTTTTGTTTTTTTAAATAGGAAAATTAATTCACTTTATGGGCTTCTCCCTTAAGATGTGTGAATAAAATTTTAATCTCAGCTCTTTATTAATTGTTAGTATTGACATTCCTCTGAGCATCTGAAGACTAAATTTAACAAACCTAAGGATGAAACCTCTTAATAACAAAGCATTTACGATCTTCATAGGAATAGTCTAATTTTTACACTTCTCAAAAAACAATAATTTGGCATAACATTTTTGAGATTTATCTGTCATCAGGTTAGGTGATCTTATACACTCCGATTTCTTGATCTGTGTCAGGTTTCTCAGGCAACTGCTAGATCTGATTTTTTTTCGTGTAAAGGCTGCACTTTTCCTGAGACAGACTAAATTGTAGATTTTCATGAAAACTTGGGAACATACTTATGAGTAGAGAAGCAGAAAATGGCCCTTAGTTATACCTGTACTATTTACTACCATGAATATTGCAATTAGTTTGGTCACCAAAAAAGGTCAACTTCTCCTGGATACACCTTCTTTGACTATTGATTTTAAATTATGTATATGTATTTTCACAAAGCTCTCTGAAATGTAGCTTTCTCACTTAGAGATATGTCTTTACTTGGCTATTAGAAAAAGATTCATTTTAGAATAGTTATTTATTAACCCAAACTTATTTATCAGTTTAAGAGTTTGTATTCTTTCTTTTAGCGTTAAAAATAGAGAAATTATAATGACCAATTTCTTGGATGATTACCGTTAATAACATTATGATAGAGAAATTGTTTGCCCAAGTTTGACCTTTGTAGCTATAAGGAGATGTAAGAGGGTCTGTTGGAGTGTCATGGTCGTTTGTTAAAGTATAGGATAGAGGAGATTTTCCTAGGAAACTACATCTGAGTTTTCCTTAAATGTCTTATTATATAATAAATCATTATTATTTTCTTCATCATATCCTTGAAGCTGAAAGTTTCAAGAAGCAGATTACTTCTTTCTTCCTTGCTTTCTCACTCTGTATGTGTAAATGCCTTCAGCTGTAAAGCAAGCATCTTTCTGAATTTTCCTAAGGAATACCAGGGCAATTCAAGGAGCTCTTCATGTGGAATCTTTTGCATGTTTGCTTCTTCAAAAACCAAACATTTATTTAAATTTGTAATGTTGCTTTCTAAGTGTTTCCCCCTTAATTTGGAATTCATTAAAATTCCCTTTTCTTTTAGGATGAGATACATTAAAAAGGAGCAAAGCAGGGAAAACTTACTACTGCTTTTTTGACTTGTTCAAATCCTCCTTTTCAAAAAAGCAACTTCTTACTGCTTTTGTATTTGTTTCATGGATAAATTATCAAATTGTAATATAATTTAAGTATGTTAACTTTTAAAAAATATATGATTTATTTAGTGTTAAGAGACCATACATAAAGCTTGTCTTGCCAGTGGAAAAACATTTTTCGGCTATATAAGAAGTCCCAGCTCTATCTGAGAGAGAAAGGTACATGCATGAATAATGACTTTGCATATCAGGTGCAAAGAAATTTAGAACAAACGTTAGAAAAATAGATATTAATTCCAGTCCAGTTAGGAAGGCTAGGTTATTCCACTAAATAGATTTTGCAAAAGTAAATGGGGATTAACTTGTGAAGGCATAAAAATTTATAAACTTTTAGAATGTTTACACTTTATATCTGACAGTGACCTTCCTTCAGCATTTTTATTGTTTTTTATATTCTTTTTGTTTATTTGTTTTAAGAAGTTAGTTAAGGGGAAATTACTGGAATTGCACAAGTGGTGATTTCGTGAATTCTAACAGTTGAATTAGTAATTATGGCACATTTTACAGTTCACTTACAATTGTTACAGTGTGACATTACTGTGTGACTATTATAGTATGAATCACTGTACAGAATGTCACAGACATCCTGTTCTAGCACTGCAGAAGCCAGACCTAGGTAAGAAGTTTCATAACTTTAAGTTTACTTTTCCTGTATAGAATAGGCAAAAACTGAGTTCTGTCTGATTTAGTTATGATGTTCTTTAAACTCTTACCCAAGTTATCACTCACAACAATTCTAACATACTCTGTTTTTCAGTCCAAGTGATGTAAGAGCATGCTGGGTGTGATTTTCAATATATGACAAAGGTGTAAAATTAAGAAAAGATTTCTATGAAATTTTTTGCACACTCTGCTAAATGAATTATTGAAATTCCAATAAAGAATTTAAAAAAAAAACCTAAAAAGCAGTATGGGCTTTATTTTTCCCTCAATCCTTTCAGCTCTCATAAATGTCGCCGTGAAAGCCGTATCTGCAGGGTTAGAAAAGAATATATCCTATAATATTTACCTGATCAGGAAGATTTTTAAAACATAGCATCTCAACGTGAGATATTGACTGAGGTAGGCTGGCAGGTTTACTGGCCTGGCAGATACAGCAGGCTTGCAGTAAATCCATGTGGTAAAAAATCCCTGAGAAGTTTTTGATTAAGAAACTTTTACTATCCTTTTAAAATGAAATATGCTAGTCATTTTTTAAATGATAAAAGCAGATATTTTATGTTGTTGTCTGAGTCAGATTCTGAAATATATTTTAATGAGTTTGTTATATGAAAGTTCCTGGATTTCTAAGATGCTGACTTAAATTATCAGTCCATAGTCCAGCATATCCAGAGAACATGTAAAAAGAAATGATAAAATTAAGTGTATTCAGCAAAAATAAGAATAAAATTTTACATCTAAAGCCGGAAATCCTGCATTCTGAGAAGAGTTAATATTGTTATTCTTTTATAAATGTTATCAGTGATTTAAAGCTGTAATAATATAGTAAACTTTGCTGAATGATAAAATTAAAGAAAAATTTTTTAAATAACAAATATAATTTTTAAAAATGCATGTAGTTTTTTAAAAAAGTAAATTATGAATTGGCTTTTAAAAATGCATTACAGGTTACATTTCTACTTAGAATCAGTAAGAGCAATGATTAATTTTAAAACATAATGTGAAGAGACTCTGTTAAGTGGTAAACAATTTTATTGGGGAGATGAACCTAGAAATAATATTTTATATGGAAGTTTGCAATTAGAGTAAAGTTTGTAATTTATTGAGAATTAAATTTTGAAGATGGTGTGTGCCCCTTCAAAAAGCCACGTGCTCAATGAATATATTGTCTGCTTCCTTAGTTGTTTTATTAACCAGTCCTTCTTGAATTTTGCATAAAAGCTAGTGTTTAACCCAACTAGACTTTTTTAAAGTCTTGTATAATTGAATATTTTAAAACTTTTTGATTTAGTGAGGTAAGAGCAGAGGTTAAAAAGAGATCTATGTCTCAAATTGATTTCAGTTGCTGTTGAAGAAGAGCTATGTGTCTACATACCCTCCCAAATTAAACTTAATTTTTAAAAAATCCCCAACACCACAGTAACAGAAACTGCTCCTTAACTCACTGGGACCCTATGTTCTACTCCACAATTTCAGGAGAAGCAGCTAAGACAATCGGCATCATTCTTCACCTAGATAATGCTTTCTCTGCAGCTAATAGCTCCTTGTTCATCAAGGAAACGAATGTGCATGGAGGTGACATGCTCTTCACCCACTGCTCTTTGTTCTAGGGTCCCTCAGACTGATTATATCAGCTCTAGCACTGACAAATATCCCCCCAAACTTTAACACTATGTTAAATTGAGTTATGAGGTTTTAAGGTTACACTCCTCTGGCTGAAGGTTGATTGTCTCTGAGAGATAAAGGAATCGTGCTCAATGATAACAGAATCCTTGCCATGGGATAATCCCAGTTATTGAACTCATAGCTCTCTTTATTTGGTTATTTGGTGTCTCTTTTTTTTCTTCTTTTTTTTTCCTGGAGAATGACTGGATACTAAATTGATGATTCACCACTCTCCACCTCCTCCCCCAAGGATATTTTAGAAAGACCCACAAGCATTCTAGCAGATGAGGGAACAAGACAACTCAAGCAAATAGAACAGCTCCTTGAAAGTGATCCCACTTGGGGTGTACTTTGAAGCAAGAGAGACACAGTTCTTCTTTGCCCTTCTCCTGACAACAGGAATGTGTATGAGGGTCTGGGGATGCAAAATACTTCCCTTCTCCTTTCCCCAGCCCTCCAATTTCTTATGCATGATTTTAATCTCTGTTTTAAGGGGAAAAAAAGCTGTGAGTTTTGGATTAAGCTGCAGTCTCTGTTGGTGACAGTAATGGTGACAGTTCTTTATGCCAATCTTTGCAGTTCCAATCCAGCATGCAACTCCATAAATGCCTTTTTGGTAGTAAAAATTACTGAGTAATGGTAAATTAAAGCCTGTCCGATGAATTGTGGATATTCAATTTTTTCCTCTATATCATATAAATTTAAGAGAACTATTTTGAGTGGAATTGGTAATACCATAGAGAAAAACTTTAGTTTAACTGCGTTCTAGGAATATCAGAGAAAGCCCTAGTTAGGGAGAAGTGTTTTAACAATGCATAACACCATCCTACAAAAGATTTACTAGCCTGACCTTCATTACCAACAGCAACAGTCACTTAGCATCTAACTATGCTGAATACATGGCACTCTGTAAGGTGAATTAATAGTATCTGCTTTCTGTAATAAATTTATTGAATGCCTATCATATGCCAGACATAGTGTTTTACATACATTATCTCTAATCATCATTACTACTGTGCAGTGTAGGTATTATTATTCCCATATTACAGATAAAGAAACTGAGCATCAGAGAAATTAATTTGCCCAAGGTCCTCAGTTAATAAAATGTCAGAGGCAGGATTTGAACAAGTCTCTATATATCCAAAACCCATAATCTTTCCAGTATGCCACACTGCCTCACAGAAAAGGAAGTAACATTTGTTGTTACCCCTCCAGATACTTGTGTATGCTGCTAAAAGGAAAAATCAGAGACTTTGGAGTTACTTGGGGAAGCAGTAGTGTATTAATAATG